TAAAGAAAATTGTAATATTGATTGGAAACTTGAAGGTTCGAAAAAAATAATTCAAAATATAAACTTTAATTATATTAAAATAAATAAATTTGCAAAAAATAAAATTGTTGTTGATAAAAAAGGATTTTGGGAATATTGACAATAGATTTTATATTTTATTTTATATTATATACTTTAATTTTATTTTATTATTTATATTGTATTTTATATTATATTTACTATATATTATAATAAACTGTATATTTAAACTATATATTCGATTAAAGTTATTTATATGCAGTAAAATAAAAGTAGTTTAAAAATATACTAAATTATTTATACAGATATTTTAAATTTATATGTATGTTTTTAAAATATATACTTTAAAAATTTATGCATATATAGTTTATAATTTTATATATCTAATATATTAAAATACAAACGTGTGTAACAGTTGCTTTTTTCCGGATCAGTCCGAATAACGAAAAACTCACGGAACACGTAATATGATAAAATTAAGATCGGGTTCATTTTTTTAGAACCCTATCATTATTATATACTACTATAATTTTTAATAAATTCATTTTTCCCGAAGTATCACGAGGGTTAAAGAGCTAGTTGAACAATTATATTTGATCGATCAGATGGTTGGTCAAGAAAATTTTCATAGAATGCATTATTATTTTACTTTAATTTTTTTTTTTTTTTTTTTTTTTTTTTTTTAATAAAATATAATCGAGATCTAATAATTGATTGATTATATAGGCTAGGTGCTAGAAAAAGGGTCAAAAATGACAACCTTTTCAAAAGCAATTTTTTTACATAAATCAATTTAAAATAAAATTAGAACTATTTTTCTCTTAAATCACAAAAGTAGTTATATTAATAAAATTTTGCAGTATAGCTCTTTAAAGTTTGTATTTTCTTATGATTTATTATAAGATTTATAACATAAAAATTGATTTTCTAAAGATCTTTTTTTTTGTCGATTTCGGCACTTTTTCCAGCACCTAGCTCATATATACTCGAGCTTATAAATTATGTACTAAATCGCTAATAACTATACAAAATCATACAAAATTAAAGATATTATTAAAAAACTTACGGGTTTAAGAGATAGTCCATTCTTGATCATCTCAAAAGTAGAATTCTATCTGGTAGAGCAATCCAGAATAGGCTTTGAATATTTGATATGGCATGCATTACAGGCATTTTCGAGAAGTTCAAACCATTGAGGTGATGTACGAATAGCCGAGTTAAGTTCTCGAATCTTTAATTATTCTTTTTATTAGTATAATAAAACAAAACAAAAAAAAAAAATCTTAATACTAATAAAGTTTATATTAAAACCATGCAAACATCTTCATTTATTTGATCTAAAGCAGCCTGCACTGCCAAATTAAGAATATGATTGAAACAATGGAATCGAAGGTGGTTTGAGTTCCATTTAAGATATTCTTCTTCCCATAACCTAACTGCTAATTCACGTACAAAAACATCATTATTTGTGGTATTGTCTAAGGTAATAACAAGCAACTACCCAAAAAAAGAATGCATATTAATATTAGGATAATTATTACTATATTCATAAGGCTAATAAGAATTCAATCAGTGTACATGTAAAATTAAACGTGTGCTTAAAATAATTGTGCACATTTTCTGCACATAGATTAATTTTTAACAAACATTTAGTGCAGCTATTTTTTTTGATAATAAAGCATGATATGCACTAAAATTTATTTAGAATTCAAATTTCTAGTATTAATTTAAAATATGCACGTGAACATAATTTTGTAATTGAATTGCAGATATTTATAGCGCATATAAAATTTAAGCCAATGTTCAAATAGCGTACACAAATTAAAGCTTGAATTTTATAAATATCTTTGAAGTAATTTCATAACTTTTTAGAACTTTAAAGAATCCATCTGCAATATTAATCCTATCATGTTTTTTGCTTATTAGACCAAAGTCAATTATGGTTTCTTTAAGATCCTAATTTTTGTCTATGTAATATGCCGTAACAGATATAAAGAACTTATTATTAGGAGATGTCCAAAGGTCTGATGTAAAGACGATTTTAGAATCGAGAATGGCGAAGTAGGTCTAGAGAATTAAAAATACCCAGCAAAAAATAAATAAATAATTCATAGAACCATAATACATTTAAAACATATAAGGATATAATAATCATAAAGCTTGCCTTTAATTCCCTTTTTCCAGAGTTATAAAGTGATATAATTGTGTTTTTTATTGTATTTGCTTTGACTAACTGTGTAGCGGGATTTAAATACTGTATGATTTCGATTAGCTCAGGTCTTCAATTATAGTAAATGGGTATTGACGATTGATGATCCAACCCGCGAACATATCATAAAGTTTTATATTATTAACATTGGTCAGTATCGTAGCAGAAGGGTTTTTAGAATTCTAAGATAAGATTTTCATGTTAGATCAGCTCAAAAATGTAAAAAAAAAAAAAAGCAACTTGCCTTTTTGAATACATCTATAACATCACCACCTTCACTTCGTACTTTCTTTTTTTTTTTATATTCTTCTGTCATAACATATTGAGTCCAATGTGCACTTTCTAAGTGGCGCCATAAGGTAGTGGTTAAGCCTCCATCTCCACAAGAAAATTCATCATGTGGGCACTTCTCAACCTTACATTTAGCAATTTTTTGTCTTTTTTTCCACACAGCTTTTTGAAAAAAAAACACACCTCACTCCAAGCTCATTTGCTATGAGTAGTAATACTATTATTATCATTAGTGAGGTTATTAGATAGATCATTTTTATGGTTATTATTATAATCATTTTCATGGTTATAGTCATCACCATGGTCATTATTACGGACATCACAGTTATTACTATGATCGTAATTATCGTAATCATTATCACAGATTGATACAAGCCCTTTGGATTGTGAAAGTAACAAACTCATTATTACACAAACTGTATTATGTTGCCCAATGTCTTAATATGAAGATGTTGGATCACATTTTTTGATTTATTGTTTTTTTTTACTTGGAACAAAAAAGGTGAGATTTTTTTTTTTATTTTCTTATATGCTCTATATACTCTACATTTGACTCTAAGCTAATTACATCGATTATATCAATGATTTTACTTTATAATAGTTAACTCTTTTTAACTCTTGTTGATTATATATTTCTCATGCATCGCAACTGTATTACAATTACATAATTAATTGAAATTAATTGCCCTCTGATCGATTCCAATTAACCTCTGATAATTGTGATCGAACTATGTAATTGTGAAACCCATACACGAAACCTAAAGTAATAAGTATTACATTTCACAATTTTTTTTTTTTTTTTAACACTAACGCCATTTACTGCAGGTTCTCTTCTTTCTTCAATAGTTATACCCTGCACCACATATATTAAAATCTAACTTTTGCCGTAAAACTAACTTTCACTGTAGCATGAACCCTAACCTGGCTCTACAAATTTCAGGAATAATTTATACTTTTACTATATATTACATAATATTAGCAGTTAGATGAAAATATACAGATAAAATAATAGACCTTTGTCTATATATTAGAGGTGCAGGCAGAATTTGAGAAATTAGAATGGCCCATACCGTAACTGAGATATACCTAGTCATAACTTTTTGCTTTAAATTACGGCTTGCTATAATTTGCATATATGCTGATAAAATATTCAAGTTATAACTTTTATATATGCTGTAACTCAATTTTGTATACATAACTTGCCGTAACTTGCCGTAACCTTAATCTTGTTATTGTAAATACCATTGTATGTTTATTTTTATATGTAACTTATTACAATAATAAATCTTTATTTATTAAAACATAATAGTAAATAGTGGATATTGTTACTATTGTAAATTGAGAGAGCGGATATTGTTGCACAGTTTAGCTCCAATAGATAACATGGTACAGGTTATAATAATCTAATTTACTATTAATTAGGGTAAGTATAACTATGGGGGTGACGTTAGTATATTTATAATAATAATAATAGTAGTTAATCGGATGGGGTAATGCTGTAAGGGCAGATCAGGATAACTTAATTTAATAATAATAAGAAGATGACATTCTCTTAAACATACTATAATAAAATTAATAATTTAAAAATAAATTAAAATAACTTAATAGTAATCTAAACATTGATCACACTATCAATAATAATTTAACACAAGATGAACTCGGTTTGTGTTAGTACATCAATATATCAATTATCTACTATACGGCTCTTAATTACTCAGAGAAAGGTCTATTCGGCCTCGAAGCTTACTTCCTTTATATTAAATAAGAGACCCAGCATATAGGCTTATTCATTAATTAACAAATATGGTAAGGAATTGATTAGTTATTTAGTGAATTTAAGGTAATTTTAATATAGGGCAAGTGAAAGATATTTAATTACAAAAAGATTATGTTTTATTTAATAAGACTTTTTATTAATAACAATCGATAACTCCTCTTTTCTGGGAAGGCCAAGAGAACTTCTATTTATACATTTTATTCTTATAGGGAATAATTTTACTATTCCCTTTATCTCTAAAGCCTTATAGCATCTATGCTTTACTATTGTCGCATATACGCTTTACTATCTAAAGCATCTACATTCTATATAATATTGTGTATATGCTCTGATTCCCCTCAGCTGACTCAACACATAGCCGATAGTGTATATGCTGTGATTGTCATATTTACTTAGCCTATAGCATATACGCTTCAATTTACTAAGCTAAAGTGAAAAAAGTATAAATTGTTATATAATAATTTATAGTTATTATCTCAAACCCAAACATGTTTGCAAACTTTGAATCAAACTTAAATCAAACTTTATAAGTATGTTTGAGTTTGGTTTGAGTTTGATAGTTTTGTATTTGATTTGAGTTTGAGTTTGAAATTATTGCAAATTTATAGTTTGAGTTTAAGTTTGATTTCAAAGTTTGATCAAATTCAAACTAATCAAATCAAACTTTAGAACCCTATCTAATAGTATGTGAAGGATATACTGATTTTTGAAACAATATAGAAGAAGTTACTAGTTAGTTTATATGGAACAAACTCAACAAGACTAAAAGAAAAAAGGTCTCTCAAAAAAAACTGAAACTTGGTTTGAGAGGCTTGATTGAAGCATTGATATATAGTTAGAGAGAAAGTTATATAAGAGATCTTATACCTGACAATGCTATAAAGAGCTTATCAAGTTTACAATTATCAAGAAAAACTGTTACTCAAAGCTTAAAGATATATAAACAGATCATTGAAAAAAGTTTTTACGAAGAAATCTGGCGAAGAAGATATATCAGAGTCAATAAATGGAAAAAAAAAAAATGAAATATGCAGACATAATAAAATCAAAACCAAGGAGAAGACTTCAACAGGCAAGCAAACTTCAAAGTAGGGACTTGTAAAAATTTGGAAATTATTTATACAAATTTGAAAATCATATAAATAAAATCTAAATTTTTACAGGTTTCTGCTCCAAAGCTAGCCAAGAAGAAAAGAATAGAAATAGTAAACTACAAAAAAAAAAGATCATAAAAAACAAGGAGTATAAGGTTGTACAGTTATTCAAAAGTGGTGTAGATAAAGTAGTACAGTGGGAGTAGCCCACCCTGGTTCAGTTCTTGACAGAGCTGACAACGTCTCCTGACTTATATATAAGTCAGTGTGACAAATCGTATCTGGACGCAGTATATGTAGCTGGGTGATGCCGGATTTGCAATTGCAAAGAGTTTACTAGAGATAGTCTTTTATTTTATATTGTAAAATTTTGTATTTAAGCTCCGACAAGACTGTCAAAAAATAAAAAAAATATATATATATATTTAATAAATGCTGATCAGTAATTTTTTTTTATAATTTTTTAATCACTACAACAAAAGTTAGATAAAAGCTAAAATTTTAGACTATTTTTTAAACAATATAATTGAATTCAATTAAAAATCAATAAAAAATTAGGATTATGTTTAAAAATTCCAAAACTTTAGTATGTTAAAATTCAATTAATTTTATAACTATGTCAAAAAATTTGAGTTAATTTAATAAAATAGTTGTTGAGAAATTAATTTTTAAAGTCAATTTAGTATATATATTAAAAAAAGTGTTTGTATGACTAGGTTTTACTAATTTTAATATAGAAATTAAATTAATTTTTATATTAAAAATTAGTAAAACCTAGTCACACAAACACTTTTTTTAATATACACACTAAATTGACTTTAAAAATTAATTTCTTAACAACTATCTTATCAAATTAATTCAAATTTTTTGGCATAGTTATAAAAATAATTGAATTTTAATATACTAAAGTTTTAGGATTTTTGAATATAATTCTGATTTTTTATTTATTTTTAATTGAATTCAATTATTTTGTTTAAAAAATAGCCTAAAATTTTAGCTCACGTTTAACTTTTGTTGTAGTAATTAAAAAATTATAAAAAAAAAATCACTGATTAGCATTTATTAAATATTATTTACTATAAAAATTTTAAAATTGTAGCTTTTTTATTTAAAAAGTTAATAGAGGTGGGATACTTATGACTACAACTGTATTAATTAATTAGCCAGTTTTTAAAATAATATAACATATATGGTAAAACATCATAGATGTGTTTTAGTAAAAATGATTATAAAAATTAAAACTTTGTTTTATAAGTAAAAAATTTTTAAATTTAAATATATATAAATTGAATTAATATAGTTATACCCATAGGGTATATTAAATTTTTTTGTACCTATTATTTTGATTATATGATATTATATACAAAATCAGCAATACTGATATTATTTAGAATAGAGTTAGAGTAATAACTGTATTAGAATTAGAGTTTAGGCTATTATATAGTAAAATCACTCAAGAAAAACTTTTTATTATTACACAAAAGGTGGTTTAGTACACAGTTTCTTGCAAAATGAGTGATTTTTGTCAAAATGAACATTTGGTTTAAATTTTTCTAATCATGTAATATTGCACCTAATCTTGAATTTTAGTAGCAAACTATAAATCACATGATATGGGTATATGTACTTTTAGGTATATATATATAATCCTATATAAATTTTTTAAAAAAGAAACTTTATAAAAAATTCTAAAATAAAAAACTTTAAAACTTTTTTAAAATTTTTTAATAATTAAAAAATTCTCTTAAAGTTAATAAAACAAGTTAAATATACAGTATATATAAATCAATATTTAAAATTTTATTTTTTATACAAATTTAAAATAAGTTAACTATAAATTTAATATTAGAAAATTAATATTATTAATTATTAATTATAAAATATTTGTTATGCAACGATTAATAACATGTAATTTGTTTTGTTAGTTTCCTATTTTAGCCAATCATTTGTTTTGATAGAACAAATTTTATGAAATTTATCATTGCATAATCCAATATCGATATTATTGTGCAATTATAACTATGCTTTGCAAGTTATTATTATTGGCTAACTAAGTTTTAATTCAAGATTGTTGTACTTATATATTGTAATAACATACAAAAAATAACAAAAGAAAAATCTATAATTATAAGAGTTGCACAATAACTATAAAAATTAAATCTAACCTGAGTGCCTCTAATTCTTGCAGAACCGTGAGAGCCGGGTATACGGCAAGCACAATTGTAGAAGATGTCTGAAAAGTTCCATTTACAATCTCTTCTACCTCCTATGAACCTTTCACCTGCTTTAATAAATTCCTTTTATCACAAAACTATCTACCCATTCCATCATCCCAAACACTTAACTCTTTCTTTCTACATCTACTAACAAATGGTCTGTAGAGTAATCTCCAAGACAAAGCTGTTATCTCTATTAAAAATAACTATAGTGAAGCATATATCTATCTTCTTGGTGAACTTTGTCCTCTACCTGATCACACAATTATACCTTACTTAGAAAGTATCTATCTTCATTCATTTATTCCTTTAAAATCGAACACTCAATACATCCCTAGCCCTAGCACTTCCTACTTATCAATATGTACACACAATATTCAAGGCTTTAACAAAAACTTTAAACAACAAGTTTGGGAACACTATTGTCTATCTAACAACTTGGATATTATCTGTCTTACAGAAATCAAACTCACTAACAACAACATTTTCACCTTCAAACCCCTCAAAACTCCTTACTATACCTACTTTTGGTTCTGTACTGACAGCTCCAAAGCTGGAACTGCTATCATAATACGCAATTCCTTAACTTCTCATATACACAAAACTTCTCTAATTCCTGGTTATGCCATTATGATTGACCTGCTTTTCAAACATGACTTTAA